TCATCCTCCTTTGAGTGGTCCGTCGCTTATACAAGTGATTTCAAAACTTGTTGACCAGATTCTGGAGAATCTTGGGTCCGTTCTACAAATAGTAATAAGGTCAGATAGGGCGGGTGTTGGGTCGGTTTTGAGCCGCAGTATATGTACCTGCGCGGCGACGAATCTGTACAGTACACAAATCATGACAAAAAGTCCGGTTTTCTTTCCGTACTTAATTAGTCGAGGAGCTGAAAGCTTGACTAGGTGCCTGATTTGGATTTGCAGCCCAGCGTTGGATCTTGATCTTGGGATTTTTGTCAGCCCTGTAGTGTAGTGTAGTGGCCACGGCTGAAACATGAAGAATCCAAGGTTGGTATAGGTATGTATCACGAACCGGTACCCAGAAGCCTTTTTTTTTTTTTTTAAGTCTTGTACATTGGCTAAGGTAGGTATGCCAAGCCTAGAATTCTCACGAGTATCAGGCAGGACATGCATACGATACTAATCATAAACAGAACTCGAGAAGTGTCCCCCGTAAGCAAGCACTTTATTCATATCCGCATCAACATTCAAGACTTGGCATATATGTATCCGATCTCTAACTCAGTCAATGTTAACTGAGCGAGCCTGGTTGCAGAAGAATTTACTTAGGAATACTTGATATAAAAAGGACACACCTCGGAGGAGAAGATTCATGCGATACTTTGTTGTGTGGTATGTATGGTTATGGTATGTGGTTAGGAGGGAGGAACCTGCAGATCTTGTAACAAGCGAACGGGCCAATCTGGTGGTCCAGGGCGCTTGTTTATATAAGATTTTGTAACGAGCCATCCAAGGTACTTAACCACCGGATACTGGTGCCGTGTAGAGGTAGGTACATGTAAGAATGGGGCAGGTTTGTTTCAACATCCATCATCATCATCGGGTTTGCCGGCCGGTCGTAACCAAGGGCCCAACATGCAGACCTGAATGGGCGGTTGTTTCGCCTGGGAATGGAATGAGGCACAGTTGCTGACCGGTATTACACGTTCAGTTTTCGGAGATTTGGATCTTATGTATCTGGGCTGCTGTGCCGTGCCGTACTCCGTGAGCTTGGATTGGGGGTGATGAGATCTGGCCCGGTTCTGGAATTCTGGAACGATCAAACATATATGGACATGGGCACCTACCTGTATTGACTGCATGGTCGAATTTTAAAACCCCCTGGAGAAGAAAAACTTCTAGAAGCCTGGGCAAGAGTTAAGGGCTCGGTTCAATTTCTGGCGTACAATATGAGACCTCTGTTCTGTGCTTGATGGGTAAGGACTGGGGCATATAAGTATGGCATCAAGTCATTGTCCATGAACTAAAGCCGCCGAGGCCCACCGAATCTGGAAGTGGTTTTTTTTTTGTGGCCATAAACCCATTGGCTATGGTTTGCTTACTCAGTTCTGTATTGACCCATAGTTCGAGGAAAGTCTGTTCATCGCCGTACATGGCTGAATCGAGGGCAACCGGAGGAACTGGTCTGGTATCCTGGTTGTAGCGTAGTTCTGTTCTTTTCTTGTCCAGCGTTACCTGTGGTTTTCTAGCCTTTTCTGTTCAGACGTTAGGTAGAAAGAAGAGGTTTGAGATTATTGAACGGATACTGGCCTCTCATGGGGGCTTGTGACGTGACAGGAGCTGAGACTTTATGAAGTTCTCCTTAATCAAGGAGTGTGTCCATCTGTCCATGCGTTCTGGTATTCTATTTCCTGTCTACTAACATAGCAGATATCTACATGTCAAGTATTTCCGACGCAGGTAGTTTGTATTGGTGTTGTTTATGTTGCTGGCTTGTAGGACTCTCAGACAACATATTCCTCCCGAGTGCTCCCATTCATGACCATGACAGTGATCTGCCCAAGTACTGGCAATTTTCCCGCTATAAGCGGAGTCTCAGTATGCTCAGCGAACATCATGTTGAGGTTCAGGGGGAAGAAAATTGCGAATAGGAGAGGAAATAACGGATGCTGTGGATCACGGGATGAGGATGGTGTACCTGAGATATCCGAGACAGTAATGATACTCCTAGGTATAGTCCAGATGTGGAAGTTGCACACGGGCGGATAACCCAAGTCCATCGTACGTAGTCCACAGTATCACATAAACGCAGATAGGCGGTCGTGTACTTCACGCCGTCAGGCGAGGTGAAGAAGAAAGAACTGAGATGATGATGGAAATTCGAGCAGATGAACCAAGAGGGCCCAGGTCGAGTCTGCCCAGTCGCAGTGATGTGGGATGCATAAAAGGACCCTGGGCGCCCATTGAGCTGTATATGATCCCCGTCAATCATCTCATTCTCAAGCAGGCTACGAGGCAAGTACAAAGTGAACACTAACAGTTATCCACCTAACTAACATGAGTGATTATAGTTCCCCCAGTCTCTCTTCAAACACCATGAAGCTAGCCATATCGACACTCATCGCCGTCACGGCAGCCTTCAAGGTCATGGCTGCGGACTCTGTCCTGGTAACCAGCATCTACAACGTCACCGATAGCACCTGGGATAGTATAGGCGCTTGGCAGAGAGCCGATCAGATGCCAGCCCTGCCTCTGGATGCCACTGGAGGTTGTCGCTACTACCCCTATCTCCCTTACCTCGACTGGACTGAGCTTTGCTTTGACTGGGGAAATTCGCGTGGCCATTGGACTATTGGCAATTGCCAGAGGAGATGTTTTATGGTCGAACATATAAATTATATCACTCCTGATGTCGAATTGACCACCTGGTCTGAGCAGAACTGCACTTGGGACTTATGGGAGGAGCAAATACACTGGGAGAACGTTGGTTGGATTTGTACCACAGATAGGAAACACCAGGTGAAGGGGGAAAACCGGGATAGTGAATAAGCTCATGATCTCAAAGTGGAGTGGAAAATGGAGTTTGAACTTTTGGAAGGTTGGAAGTGGTTGCATCAGAAATAGTATCAACAGCAGACTACATTCGTCATTGCCAAAGTTTGCTTGAAGCGGGACCAAATACAATTCGATCCGTGGAGTTTGATATTCCGATTGGAACGCGACGAGGTTTATAAAGGCGCCTAATATTCAGGCACCACTACTCTTTTATACAGGCAGCAGTCCAGTTTGACTTTCTAGACTAGTGTGACGAATCCACTAGTATAGAACCCTACCACTAGGCTACGGACCCCCTTTCTTCAAAAGGATGTAGAATTTCAAGTCGAACGCCGACTTGAAATCAAGGGTTATATACATATCGTGACAACTAGAGGCCTTTGTTCAAGCCAGTTAAAGCATTTATTCGAGCCAGTTAGAGTATTTATTCGAGTAAGTCAAGATATTTATTTAAACTAGTTAAGATATTTATTTAAGCTACTTAAGATATTTATTCGAGTTAGTTAAGACATTTATTCGAGCTAGTTATAGTATTTATTCGAGCTAGTTAGGGTATTTATTCGAGCTAGTTAAGGCATTTATTCTAATATTATAAGTCTAGTTAAGACATTTATTCTAGTCTAGTTAAGGCATTTATTCTAGCTAGTTAAGGTATTTATTAAGTCCAGTTAATGCATTTATCCCAACAGGAGTAGTGCCTGTATCTAAGAAGACTGGTGCCTGTATATGAGAGGACTGGTGCCTGTATATTAGGGGTCTTTATAAAGTGCCAGCCCATGGTGTCTAAGCTTACAACATGTAATCTTTTGTAACGACCCTGCTCCTCAGCTATCGTGACTCATTAACTCATGTCAAACAAACCGTGGAATCACCCGTACCACCAAACAGGATGTATCAAAGTCTTGTGTGATATATAACAACCAAGATCTGGTTTGCTAGATTCGTTCAGATGTTGGATTCCCTAGCTCCTTTCCACCGAACTCTGTCAAACGCACAGTTCTTATCAAAATATACTTTGGTATCTTGGATTCTCAAACCGTTACAGCTCCAAGTAAGTTGAAGGAGTCGAAGGCCACGACATGCAACTAACATATCCTCCGCCTCCTCTAGCATTTGTATCATTCTACCATACCAACTACACACACAGCGATGAAGCTCACCTTTGGAACTACTCTCTTCGCCATCGTCTTCTCTGCTACCATCATCAGAGCGGACTCATTGGACGTAATTAACATCCACAACAGCGACGGACATTGGACTGCCGTTGGCGTTTGGTAAAAAGACGGAGCCATTCGTCCGGTTGACGCCTTAAAACACTGTCGCGAAACTCCCGATGTACCCTACGAGGATTGGAGCGAGATTTGTTTCGACTGGGAGAAAAACAGGGGACATTGGATAGCGAATAATGTGAAGAGATGCTTCCTCAAGGGGCCAGAGACGGCGATCACTTCAAGTGCTGGTTGGTCAACACGGAGCGAGCTGGTGTGTAGTTGGTAAACAACCAGGGTGTTTGTCTCGCACCATTTGTATCGTGCAACTCGACGGCTAGCAAATAACTTGAATGCGTCATGACTGTTGCTCCAAAAATCTAGTTGATGCATTCAAACAACAAGCCTAAATCCCCCCAAAAGATTACAGTCTATCGAATCTCGCAGGGAGAACGGCATTAATTCCATAGGGTCTTATCATGAACTACAACCTAATATAGCAGTAACTAACCCGTAGAAACCAAATTCGACGTGTCGTGCATACCGCCTCTTCTTTCACCAGCCCTTGAAGAAGGTGCCTTCTTTCAGGGGGGCTAACAGGGTTATTTACTCCGTCCCGCGCTAAATGGTTGGCCGCACAACCACCTGACCGTTGTCCTGCTCTCCAATATCATTTCCATCCAAAGAACCCGTATTCTACACTAAGAAGATTGAACCAACATTAGGTAAAGAAAAATATAGCAAATGCAAGAAGAAACATATACGGAAACACTTTATTTGTTCCCCTTGCTGGGCGTGACACTGGAAAGGGGCACACAACCGATTTTTTAACAAACGGCCTGATTACCTAACCAACCGCCAGGCGAATCAGCCCCACAAGCTGATTATACGGGTTACATAAGCCCCAAAACCGGAGCAAGCACCAACAACTTGCAAGGGTGCATAGTCTAGTGGTCAGGACGGTTCGTTGTGGTTTCTCAGGAATCCCAACCCCCGAACAAACCCCGGTTCGATTCCGGGTGCGCCCACTACTTTTGCTACTTTTGCTCAAGTACACTTGACTTTTATTTCTCACATTTCAATCAGATCCCTTATACGGATTGATATACCAGATATATTTATTCTTAACATTTTGTCCAATTTCATAATATTCTTCTTCACCTGCGGAACTGCCTTGATTTTCCTCTGTAAAACGTACCAACTACAAACCGGAGGATGAGTAGCTTGTCACATTTTACACGGCACTAGGCAAGTGTACAGTACTTCACAATAAACAGACAAACTGCACTCCTGCCTTGCTCGTGACTTCAAATGCACTTGATTAGGATGCGCTGTTTCTACAAGAAAGGGGCATCGAGAATGATAAACCAAACCAGTCAACTCCGGCTCCAATACCCTCCCCAAAAAACCTGTGAAAAAGAAGCTCAAGAGGTTGCACTAATGGCAAATGCTGAAAATTCAAAAATAAGAATTACATGTCATGTACTCGACGAAGAAGCCGCCCATCAGTCCCTCGTCACCTGGAAACACTGGCATAAAACTCGGTCGCCAGAGACAGGTACTAATTAACTCGTCATCCATGCGCAAAAGGTGGACTGCTTTCCTAATTCCCGATAAACATGTTGACCTGTATAGAGCATCGAGTCAGCCGTCTGTCTCCCTGGGAGCTAATATTGGTGGTAGGATGGAAATCACTCACCGCCATGAAGATGCAACACAAACTCATATATGGGCTCAGTCTCTCCCCTATCCTCGCGCACTTCCAGAATACACCCAACACACTGGATTCAGTTAGCCACCATGATACCAAAGTTGTCATGCCTGGGATAGCTGCGCATCGTTCATCCCCAGCTGGGTAGTTTGGAAACTGTCCGCTATTCTGCCCATCCTACAGCACCGCCCGCTCATGATGGCCCCGCCCTTGCTGATCCCAATCACCAAGGCATCGACCCAAAAGACAAAATCCGCCATAGGGAAGCTGTCACTCACCCATCCTTATTCCGATCCAGAATCGCGGGCATTAGCGCGTGCACGTAGGCGGATGTGCAGACGAGGAGGAGAATGACGAGCAATAAGCTCTTGAGGTTGAAGAGGGCAGACTAGATTTCGATATGTTAGTCCCTGCCACCCACCCCAGTACCTGTGTTGCCTTTCTTCGAGGGAAAGCGCGGGCCCCATCCCCCATTCAGCCAGTCCTGCTGCCTTGGTTTGCACCAGCCGTATTCTTTCCTATGCCCATAATATCCTCGACGCCGGCACTTTGCCACTCCACAGTTCCCTCGACGTGTATGACGAGAAACGTACCATCTTTCTCTGGACCTCCTTGAATAGCTGTGTTGGTGTGCGCGGGTTCGCGATGAGATCTCGTCGTGGGATGTCGATCGACCGCTCGTCGCCCTTTCGTATGTCTGAATGAAGGCTTATTACTGTCGGGTATTATATCTTCGATCGTTCAGTCGTTGGTCGCAGCGCGCGTTTGGCGTTTTGGCCGTGAATCAAAGTCGCCTGTGTTCGTTGACTGATGACGAAACATGTCTTTTGGATTGAAGCTTTCGCTTCTCTGAGGCCAGGGTGGTACCTCCAGGGTGGCTTGGCTTGGCAAAACCCACCGGGCAGGCACTAACCCCACATTTTCAAGGCGTGGTGGGGCCGCGTTTGAATTTCCCGAGTTACACGAAGCAGGGATCTCACTTTCAACGGGACGACCAGAGCCTCAATTGTAGCTTCTACACCTTCAACACCCGAGCATTCTACCTTTGCGCGAACCAACAGAAACGGCGACCCCAGTCGACGCGCCCCCAGTCAAGAACTATACAACAGTGGGAATATTCTCAAGCTTTTGTTACCGCTTCCACCTTTTATTCGCCATCTCGAACACATTGCGCAAACCCAACTCTCGCTCCTACCTACGTCACGAACGGTATCCCCGACACACAAGCCCATCAAGCAAAAACACCACCAACACATCTCCAAAGATGGAACCCCGAGCCAGAGCCGGCAAAAATGTCGGCAAGATGAATTTCAACCAGACAGAGCGTACGCTATTATTCTCCCTCTCTCTCCCCCCTCAAACACCCCCCCACCCCCCCCATAATCTAACCATGTCACCCCCAACCAAACAGTGATGCAAATGCTCTACGGCCACGGCGACGTAGCCCAGCCCCTCCCGGAAACAGTGCGCGTCCTAGACGAAATAGCAACAGACTTTATCCAAGGCATCTCGTTCGAGGCAACCCGCGCAGCGCACCACGCCGGCCGCCAAAAAGTCAAATTCGAAGACTTTGAGTTCGCCATGCGCAGGAACCCAGCGTACATGGGCAAGATCCAGGAGGTATTTGAGAAGAAGAAAGAAATCGAAAATGCGCGCAAGAATTTCAGTATTGAGGATCAGCTTGCCAAGGATGAGAAGGCTGCTGCTAAGAATGCGGAGAGGAATGCGGAACGTGCTGCTGAAAGGGAGGAGAAGAGGAGGGAGCGGGAGCGCGAGAGGGAGAGTAAGAGTGGTGGTGGGAAGGGGACGGTTGGTGGGGCGGGGAATAAGAGGGGGTTTGAGGAGATTAGTCGGGGGGAGGAGGAGGAGGATGATGCGCTGTTTGGTGGGGATGATGGGGATTTTTTGGGGGAGGGGGGAATGCAAAGGGTTGAGGAGTTGCTTGGTGAGGGGGATGATGATTTGAATGTTGAGGCTGATATTGGGATGGCTTCCAAGAAGTAGTTTGTGGGAGGGTGATGCTGATGGGCTGCGTTCTGGTGTCAATTTGGCACGCGTTTTCTTTTGTCGCGCATATTGGGTTTATCTCTGGGCCATAGCTGGCGGTGACCTCGGGCTTGAGGTTTTGGCTTTGTTCTTTTCGGTTGCATAGCGAAGGTGTACTTTTTGTTTTCTTTATGTGTTGCTACATGAGAAACGGCACATACGGTAAGGGCTGGACGGGCATGATAAGGAGTTAGGGGGATCACATTAAATCTCTGGTATTTCATTACTTGGCGTTGCTATATTTACTGGCACCTTGCGATTTATATCGGTGCATCACTGCTTGGTTTCGGCGTCATGTACATCCTGTGCTCATTTGACGGGTTAGAGTGAATGGGATATCAGATACCACTGTTGCATATAGACCCCCATAGCGACACCACTTCCCAGCGAGAACCGGTAGTAGAGGAACGCCCATCCCAACTGCGTGAGTGGTTAAGTGGTCAGTACGATGCCGGTTCTCGACGGGCCCAGCCCGTTTGTGTTTGGTCGCGGTCTGGGGTTCTGAGACGTCGCGGGTTCGACCCCGGCGTCAGGCCAGCCCTTCTCTCTTTTTTTTTTTGCTTTTTTGCTTTATTATACCCATTGTCCTCGGCTTGGTCAGAGACTAGAGTGGAGTGAAGGCTATGCTAGCTGCCCAGCATGAAATAAACACAACGGTTCATCCTTCTTAATTGTACTAATGAATCTGGGATACAACGACATAACAAGTCTCGTATCCATACATCATCTGCTAGAAACATAAGCAAAGTTGTTGTCATTTGGTCAACACAACTCTTGTGTGGAAGAAAACAAAACCAATTTACATATCACGCCAGTACGCCCCGACATGAACCGGTAAATCGCCAAGTCCCCTCAGAACTTCCTCCAGTTTGTCCGGATCAACTTCTTCCTCGTCCAGGGCATCCTCGCCTGTCATCTCAGCAACAACGCGTTTGGTGTCCTTCCAGGGGACATCAAACAAGCCCGAGTTGATCTGACACATTCTAATCTCGCCAGGCCCATCGCCGCCACCACACCTTTTGCTATTGGTCCTCTCTTTCGAAATAAGCCTCATCAAATGACCCATCGCAGGCGAAGTAGCACGGAGGATATCCCTTGGCGAGTCCCGGCCTTTTCCGTATGCCTTGCTGGTGAATAGACAGCCGATCCAGTGCTGCTTTCTGGCTTCATTTGCAAGGGCGCTCATGCTTGCGGCAAATTTTCCCTTGCCCTTGCCGCCTCCAACTGCTGGACCCGAAGAAGCAGCTGCCGTTCTGGATGGTAAGGGAGGAGGAGGAATAAGCAAAGCCGTGCCGACCAACTTTCGAGGATCGGAAGAATACCGCTTGCAGTGAGCATTGTACACCTTGAAGGCCTCGGGGTAGGATTTCCGAAAGGCTAGTGCGATGCCGCCGCCCCAGGAGCCTATGGCGTTGCAGGCGTGGATTAGGACGGTGTTTGGCGGCGCCGAGAAGAGGTCGCCTTGGATGTCAGTTATTCTGATTAGCTGACCAGGTCTTGTTGGGGGTCCTGGGGTTTGGGTTGGTTGTTCGGCCTGGTCGGTGGGTGTTTCTTGGGGCTGTTCTGAGGAGGACACTTTTGTTCGGGGAGGTCGTGATTGTGATGGTGATGATGGTGGCCTGTTTTCTTTGGATGCTTCCATGTTGAAATTTAACCGAGAGGGAGATGGAGAGTCTCGGGCCGGCTCCGTTCCTTCTTTCCGTCCTTGCCCTTGTCTTTCGTCTTGCCCTTCGCCTTTGGGTTGGGGAGAAGGAGTGGATTTTGAGGAGGCATCATCTTGGGTTTCTTGGCGGATAGGTCGTTGGGCACGGGTTGACGATGAGGACCCAAAGTTCAACTTGGTCTGCTTAAACTTGCGTTCTCCTCCGGCTAGAGAGGCTTTCTTAAAGCCGTCTGCTGTCCGCTTGGAAGCCATTTTTATGTCGATTAAACTTGACCGTTCACGGTATTGTTGAACTCGTTGGAGGAAGTCGCAGCCCGGATGAAGTTGGAAAAAGGGACCAGAGCGATGACTTGTTGTGGATGATTTTACGTATAAATAAAAAGAACCTTATTCTTCGGGAGATTTACTTAGGAATAATTTATGGTTTGGACGTCGAGATGCGTCATGCGGTGAGAGACAGGAAGCAGCGTGGTGGCTAACATGGGACGAATAAGAAGTTCAGACCGTGCCAAGACTGCCAGTGAACCTTACCGCATACCGAGTACAGATACCATCATTCTGATCGAGAACACAGTGCCCAAGTTGGGGTTGTTAATGCTTCGAATGAA